CAGGCAAGAAGATGACAGTGGCAGTGTGTGTGATGGAGGGGGTTTTGAGAATTGCAATTAAATGCCAGGTAGCGACGTGTCCTCCTAATATTACTTATTAAATAATTATTAGATGTTTTAATTGCCTGTATGTTGGCCTGGCGAGTTATTGCTAGGCATTAACATACCTAGGTATAAGCTAGGCATCGCATTCTGGATTGAACAAAAATAAGGGTTAAAGTTGCTAAAAGTTCACGTGACTCCGAAAAGCTCTGTGATTGGCTGTGACATCACTGACTAGTGGGAGCCGCAGAGCAGGAGCCTCGAGGCAGCCAACTGTGGTGTATGTGTTATTGCCAGCAAAAATACAGGACTTGTGGCCATACGCAATGTTAAATGAAAGGACAAAGAGTCGGTGCTTCGTGCCAATGTGCAAAAGTACCGATAAATCTTCACCAGACAAAATATTCATCACAGTACTTCCCCATGTCAGAATACTGCATCTACTGTTGTGAAGATCATTTTGATGTGAGTATTAAGTTGATATGTACAGGCATGCCTTATTTTTAGGTTAAAATAAATTACTGCTCACGTATCATCGTGTGTATTTACTTGCTGGCTGCCAAAATGATGCAAAAGACTGATAACTCCAACATGGAAGTTTTCATCACTCTTCTCTATTTCATGTCTGGAAAATGTAAGTTTTCGTCACTGATGTCTATATTTAATGTTGTGGAAGGACTAGGGACGACCATGGCCAGGGGATGGGCTTGAGATGATCAGATGACAGATGTGATTTAAGGTGCTTCGTAGCTGGATGGCAGAGTTCTTGATAATACTCTAGAATCATAGACATCTACTTTTGGTAAATTTCTTTCATCTGCCTCGATGAACCCTGGCTGTAGTTGTCCAACCTTCTCGACTGATCAGCTCTGTATATAAATATTATGAGATAATTAATTGTGCTTTACTATGCAACACAGTAATACTATTTTGAATATATAAATATTAATAAGCACATTAACTAATTCAATGGATATTAGCTGCCCATGCAACAAATTTCATAGTATAAACATTCCAAACAATATTGGTATTATTTTGGTTTTGGTCATCTGGGGAACCTTAAGATTCTAACAATTGGATTAAGTACTTTAAACAATAAGACACATTATCTCTACGGGATTTCTGTCGCAAAACATTTTTCGATTGCATAAGAAAATACAGGTCATATGTTAGGTTAGGGTATGATGAGTTATAAGGTTAGCTTAACATACATCGGTAGGGGGGCGGGTAGTAGCTCAAAACTAGTGATTTCTTATAGAAATGAAGATCTAAATCGTTAATAACACATCACAAACCATCAGAAAAAAAAAATAGTCTGCGTGTCTAAATACAGGGATGATCAAAACTTAAAATTTACCCATAATAGCCTATCTCGAATCTAAGCATCCTAACACTTATGGTAGTTAAAGTAAAATTTTACCCATTAATTAATATGAATGATGTTATATCCCAGTGGTTCATTAGTGAATCATCAAAACAATAACAGCACTCTGTTGTCATGTTTACCTTGCATGAGGCATTCTCAAAACAAAGTCCAGATAATGTCATTACTTCTCAATTGACTGTATCTCCATCCATGCATCGTCTGCAGGGTAGGTGGTGACTTCATTGCAAATGGCGGCTCTGTTTCCAGAGAAATAAAATTATCTTGACTATTATAGCTAGGGTTGCCATATCTGAACATTAAAAAAGAGGACGTTCCCGAAGACATCATGCCCCCCACCTGGCACACACTATGGCGCTATGTAACCTTGATGCAGCCGTGACCGTTTTATGCTCTGGAAAAGTACAACAAATCGTAAGCACTAGCTGTGGCAACAAGTGACAAACCCACAACAAAGACTAAGATCAAACACTGTCACTGCAGGTTAAGGACTGGCCAACCACCGGTCACCGTCATAGTTGTCGACACACGTAAATAATATAGCGAAAGTGGTTAGATTATGGTTGAAAATTGCTAAAATGCCTTAAATGCAGGACAAGAAAAACAAATGCAACAGTGTAAAAAAAAGCCATAAGAAAAAATGGTATACAGGTACTTTCAACATCTCATTTATGGCTGTAATAGCACTAAATACAAAAAAAAAAAATTATAATAATGTGCGTGGCTGAAGAACAAGGAAAAGCAGTACATGTTTCTTTCCGTGGAGAAAATGATGGAAGCTGAAATTCCGAAATTTTGAAGAATTTTAAAAATTCCTTCCGGATGAAGATTTCGAGACCTAAATGGAGGACATGTCAGGAAAAATACGGATGTTTGGCAACCCTAATTATAGCAGGACTTTCAACTTTTATTACAAATTATATACTGTATACCGTATCAGTCTACGAATGTGGCAAAGTGTATTTCTTGTGTTTACTCAGAACCGTCAACTCATCCAATTTCTTAGTAATGTCTGCCATGTACTGTCCACAATACACAGAAACAAATTATTCATCAGAGTAATCTCCCTGTTAGCAGGAATCCCCACTCCCCGAAACTCTTCAATAGCCAGAATTGAAATCGGGACGAAAATTTTTTGGGAAATTTGTCTCCATAACGAGTTTCTGAATTCCGAGGATGAAAATCAGGCGCATTTCCCGGAAAAAAAAAACATAAAAGTTGAGACCGGGGTCTGTAAACATACTTGTACTGTAGTTCTAATTAAGTTAGAAACCAACATTTTTCTTTTTTATTAAAATAATCATACACAGTTTATCTAAAAGTTTCGTGAAATAAAAATATTTTAAAAAATTAAAAATGTACGATACGGGCATGTGAGGTGCCTCATGAATAAAACTATATAAAAAAAAATAAAGACTGGAAATTTCAACTCGCATGAAGCTGTATATTAATTTACGCAAACACCACTGTAGGTGGGATGGCGGATTATTGAGTCTCATGTTACTGGCCTGACCTGATGCAATGTCAGGTGGAGGTGGGGTGGGGGATTATTGAGTCTCATGACCTGAAAGTGTCATGAATAAAAAAAAAAAAAAAAAAGCTAAGGTGCTCCAATGTTTCCCACTTAGTGAATGTACACTGTACAGTATACGTAACTGTAATCACTTTATATGTTCTTAACATATACTTTAACACATGGTATTCTTGACTGATTGTGTCCTGGTACAGTAATGTACAACATAAATTGTATGCAAAAACAGCAGCTAGTGAGGGAAGAACCTTCTACAATGGCAGCAAAATATGAACTAATTAACATACCTAGCTGACGTCGCATTCGAGCTATATCACAAAAACTGGTTTTTAGGAAAAAAACGGATCTTTTTTATTATTAATTTTTTTTCTACATAAAAGAATGGAGTCTCCATTATTATATCATTAAAATACAGTATTTTGTTTAAGGATCTTTTATTGCAAATATCTTGTAAGAGAATTTGTTCAGGATCATTACCGGTATGGTATCAAAGTCATCTCTGTAACACAATTAAAACATGCTGTGAATAACATTTTATACACATTCACTAGCCACAAATATTTTTGCTCTTGCCTGCAGTCTAAATGTAATGGAGTGTTTGTCCAGGCGAGATGAAATGATGAGATGCTTAATTTAGAATCGAGATGACATGAATAGTTTAGACTTTTGGAAAACTTTCCCAGCACCCAGAAACATTCCAGGGAAGTGAGCTAATATCTGTCTCTGCTAGATGCGTAGTTTATACTCTCGGAAACTTTTCCCAATACCCGGAAAAATCCGGGGGTGTGGGATTTTTCCACTTTTGAGAGAGTCATCTCATTACCTGGAAAAGTTCTGCACCTATTGTTCTGGCTAATGGGGATATCACTGAATACATGTACAGTGGAGTCTGGATTTACGCGGTTTTGGTTAACACGTTTGGTCATTTACGCGGTGCCTTGCCAGAATCGAAATGCTTTAATTATGCGGTAAATTTGGTTATTTACGCAGGTGAAGTATAATTTGTTTACTGTATTTACTGAAGATATTTGTTTTAGCTCATAAAATTCATACAAATTACCCAGCCAGAATATAATTTACACTGCTGGAATTTGTATAAGATTGTGATTATTTTAAATATAAACATCATAAAATTTGCATTAGACATACAAATTTTAGATCTAATTTAAGAATTTTGATTAGAAAGAGCAAAAATTTGATCTTTTGTGCAAAATATATGACGTTTATATTCAAAATATTCCTTGTCTTGCAAGGAATCCAGCAATGTCAATTATATTATCCTAACTTTAGTCTGAGGTAAGCCTACTGTTTTCACCCAAACATTTCTCAGAGGGAGGAGCCAGCGAGCATGGGGGAGGGGGGGAGTTGAGTCCATTATTTGAATGGACATTAACCGGCGACTGTATTTCTCTTAAATATTAATTGTGTGTGCATACCATCATAAAATTAAGCTGTTATTTTTACTACAACGTAGGTATTGTGTCGGAAAAAGTGGAGTTTGGGGGTCAGCCCAGTCTCTATTTCAATTAATCCCATATGTTCTGTTATTTCATTTATGCATTTCTCGTTTTATTTGGGCCTCCACTGGTTCAATTGACCGCGTAAATACAGACTGTACTGTATTTACAGGTATTGATGGTCACTGCAGATAAAAGCTAATCCACCAGGCCCTCTCTTTTCAATCTCAGTCACAGCATGTTGCTATTGTGCCACCTCTCTTTTATGCAAATACTTATCAGTTTTTGGACTTCATCAATCACCTTCATTTCTTGCATGTCTTATTTACAGAATTTCCATCCCCCTACAAATTATAAAATAAATGTATGGCATACACTTCTTATGACATTTTTTATTATGGGTTTTGTATTTTCCTTTATTATATTTATTAATCATTGCTACAGAAATATGGTGAATATTGTACTGGGTAGAGTATATTTTTTCAAGCTTCTTTGAGAGGCTCTACTTTATAGCACAATGTTTAAATGTACCAGTACACTATAGTGTTTTGAAAGATTATGCAGCTTTATCTATTTTCTTCACTAGATTGAAAAATTGGGTATTTTGGTGACTGAATCTCGTACTGACTTGGAGACACTTCGGGCTAAATTCTCCCTTCATCGAAAAATTGGGAGGAAGAAAGAGGAAGAACTGAGGCAGTGCTTGAAGCATATTGAAGATTTAGAGACAGAAGCAAACCAGTTCAAGGAAAAGGTCTGTACTCATGAATTGTTTGTATCCTCCTTATCAAATACTATATACAGTATGTTTATAGAAATTACTTATAACTACTGTACTGATTAGACATTGGATAAGTGCATCATACTATACAGTATACAGAATATACTTCTTTATTGGAACTTTTGAATTATTTTTACTGGTTGGCATCAAGCTAAGAGAGTAGTCACATTAGCTGTATGCTAAGTCTCTATTCGTCAGCAAAGGGTGTGAAAGGAATGAGCTAATGATATAGACACTGTGCCTAAAGCAGGTGGTAGAAATTTGGCTTGCCTAATTATGATTGTCCAAATGATATCCTGGAGTTATTTGCTGGAACATAAAGCAAACAGTCATTTTTAGTACAGAACATAGTATGTATTAATATTTGTATACAGCAACAATATTTAGTTACAGTTTTTATTCCACTTATTACACATAAAACTAATATTCCCTATCTACTAGAATGCACCTCCATTTTTGCCCTTTTTTTGTGTGTGTAAAAAGAGCGGCTTATATTTGTCAAAATACAGTACAGTATATATACAAATTAATATGCCTTAAAATATGTTCTCTTATTGGAATAAAGAGAAACAATCAATAAATGAAGAAGCACACACGAACAATGATATAGATTTTAATAGCAGATTTGTAGTTTTATAGAACTTCACATTTCTACTCCAACCTATAAGATGACCTAGCTGTTTAAATAGCTAATACAGTAGTTTTCTTCAATTACAGTACAGTATATACGTATTGTTATTACTATTACAGGAACTTATAGTAACGAAAAGGATTAGTGTTGGGCAAAATTACGTTGTGCAGACTTAAATTCTTAAGGGAAAAATGGGGTGGCGGGATCATGGCCATGTATGGACTTACCACATGAGATGCATACCTTTTAAACATTTACATAATGCACAAATAGAATACTAATAGAACTAACCTTACCATAAAAAAAATATGTTAATGATAAGTGTTATAAAATTATATTACTGCGCTCACCGATCCATGATTAGATGAGTGTTTCGTAACTTTGATGATGCGACCCGTGGTGTAATGGTCAACATGCGAGTGGACTTTGGTTCGATCCCCGGGCAGGGTGAAACTATGGGCAAGTTTCTTAACTCCATTTGCCTCTGTCTACCCAGCAGTAATTGGGAACCTGGATGTTAATCAATTTGCGGATCGTATTCCGGGGTAATGGTTAGCCAGTGTAGTTGGCGAATTGTCCAGTCTTGTTGGATTATTCCTCGACACTGGGTCATGCAACTCGTTAACTCAGGGTGTGGTTGTTGTGTTGGCGACAGCTTCTACACCTTAAACAAATTCACGCCTAGGTGGCGCTTGGGCCAGCCATCCGCATTACAAAAGGGACAATCATTATAATGATGATGATTTCGGAGATGTTGTGAAGGCTTCTGATGACTGTGGTTCATGAAGAAGACTTCGATGATAATGAAAGTGGAATGATCATCGGCTTCGGGCTCCAGATCGGTAGATGATGTTGATGGTTGGGGTTCATAGAGTTCTGGTTCGGCAGACAATGTTGATGGTAGGGTGACCGCAGCTTCGAGAAGAAGCCTTTTTTTTTTTCTGTTTTTTCTTTTTCTATGCAAATTTTTCAAGATTTCTCTGTATGCCACACAAAGCTCATCAAGGGCCTTTTCGAACTTAATATTCTCTCCATACGTTTATAAAAGAGGCCAGTCTCATCAGCGTTAAACACTTGCTCCGGGGCATATCCTTTATCAATTCAAGCAGCATGGACTCTGCAGCCTCTTTGTCTGGTGATCCAGCCACATTATGTAAATTAAAGTGACATTTAAAATTTTCAAAGCACCCTTTGCTTGCTTGGAAATCAGACACAGGATCACTCCCTGCCCCCTCAGTTTTCACAACATGAACATACATGCTATGTGCCTTCTCACATATTGCTACGCTACTGACAACAGATCCTTTCTCATTCACTTATTCACTGATCTTAACATTTACTAGTTTTTCCATTTATTCTAAGTATCGATCCCTCCTTGATATTTGGGCCAACTTAGCACTAAGAGAAGAGGATTCTTTCACACTTGCACATATTTTGTCCTCACAGCTACGAATCTTGTGTAATGTGTATGGTGGATTCATTGCTACACACACACCATCACGTAGCCAATCTAAGATCTTTATTTTCTCGGCTAATGTCATCACTTTTCTAATTTTCTTGGTTGTGCGATCATCACCTCTGTGTTTGGGGGCAAACACACAAAGCAACTCAAAAATACAAAACTTCCAAAACCGCTTTAGTACAAAGTTGACAGTACTGGTGCGTAAGCTTGACTGGTGGGCATCTTCAACTGGAGCATGGCTGAGGCAGATCGGACGAGGAGAGAGGAAGGCAGAGGCACGCGTTGTTAACCCGCTTTTATTCAAATTTTCCGTATTGGCCAAATTATTTAGTCACATATATTTAAACTCTTACAGTAGAACGTCGATTTAACGCAAGATACTTTCCAAGAGAGGTTGCTTTAAACCGAATTCACACGAATTCACATCTCCAAGACTTATTCAAAAGTGAGAGGACCCTCCATGCTAACAAGCAGTTCAGTTACATCCTCTTCTTGGATTTCTTGAAATCCTGAATCACCTCTCACTTCCTTAACGAGCTTCATAATGTCTTTCACGTCCTTGCCTTCATCAAAGCCCTTGAAATCATGGACTAACTCAGTCACAGATTATGCCACACTCCATTTAGTGCAGTTTCTGGCATACTTTTCCACTCAAGTGCAATGTTAGTTATGGCATCTTTGATGGTGTAGCTCTTCCAAAACGTTGCTGCAGTCATATTGTTGTTCATAGCTTCAGCCATTTGCCTCATGGTATTCTTGAGATAATGTCTCTTGAACAAGGCAATAACACCTTGATCTAGTGGCTGAATAAGTGAAGTCACGTTTGGAGGGGAGAAGGTCAAGTTTACGTCCTTATTCACACTGCACAGGTGTTTGGAGTGGCTAGATGCATTGTCCATGAGAACCAAGGCCTTATTGCTAAGGTTCAATTTTTTTTTAAATTTTCGATGAATGGGGCGGCATGGCTGATGTACCACTCATCAAAAATATCAGAAGTCATCCACGCCTTCTTCTTTGATCGCCAAATTACAGGAAGTTTCGGGATGTGCGCATTTTTCAAGGCACGGGGTCTAGCTGAGTGGTGGATGACGAGTGGCTTCATTCGTGCAGTGCCTGATGCGTTCGCCATGAGGAGAATCGTCAGCCTGTCCTTGCTGACCTTAAACCCTGGTGCATTTTCTTCACCCTTCATTAGATAGGTTTTATTGGGCATTCTTTTCCAATACAGTCCAGTTTCATCACAATTCCACACTTGGCAAGGAGAATAACTATTTTCTAACGCTACCTCCTTCATAACTTTCTTCATATCCTCGGCCGCCTCTGCGTCGGCAGATGCAGTTTCACCTGAAAGCGTCACTTTCCGTAGCCCCGCCCTTTTGATAAATTTGTACAGCCAGCCTGTACTTGCTGTGAACTTACTGTCTTTGATGGACTTCCCTTTCCTTTCAAGTATCCGAGACTGTATTTCATAGGCTTGGTTTTGCATCATGGGGCCAGTGAGAGGAAGCTTTTGGCGCTACATGTCTTCTACCCATAACTTAAGCACTTCTTTCATTTCACCATACATAGCACTCTTCAGGTGGAATTTATCCTTGGCAACATCTGGTGAAGCATAAGCTGCTCTAATTTTCTTCTCGTTGAGCTTTATTGTGCGAACAGAGCTCTCCGACAGTCCAAATTGAAGTCCTACACTTGAAACGCCATTTCCACGCTGCAGTGCAGCACCTTGATTTTCTGCTCCAGTGTGATTGCTTGCCTTGATTTCTTGGTCTTTGGGGTAGTTAATGATGTAGTAGCTGGCCTCTTGGACATAATGGCGATAGTTGATACACGTGGTAGAAGAGATAGTGTCACACAGTATGTCCGTTCACTAGAGCATCAGCGCGAGAACTGAGGATGTGGGAGGGTGGCGGGCAGCTGTGTAGCGTGTCCAGAGACGTATCAGGTGGGAAACATTAGGCACGAAATTTAAAATATGATGCGCCAGATTGACTCACGCAAAATAAGAAAGATTCGCTTTAAATTAAAACATTGTCCTTAATTGTGGGTGTCGCTTTAAATCAATAATCTTAAATTGGTTCGCATTAAATCGACGTTCTACTGTATAGTCAAAATCACGGTTGACAAACCAGAGTTGGTCAGGGGGTTCAAACTGGTGTGTGGGGGGTGTAGAATTTACAGTACAGTATACGCGTACAGTCGACCCTCGTTAATTCGGACTAATAGAGGGGGGAGGGTGTCCGTTTTAGCCGATTGTCTGAATTAACCGATTTAGGGGTTAATATTGCATAATATTGCATTATACAGCTATGTGTATGTTTATTTGAGTGCCCCGTCATAGGAGTCCGTTTTCTCTCACTTCAGGACGCCTGAGTCGTCCGTTTTCTCTTAATCTTAGAGTGCACCAGAGACTTCATTATTCCTTAGAAGTGATACAGAATTTGAAATTGCAACCCCAATTGCAACTGGGACAATCCCAGAACCAGAAATTTGATACGGACAGTTCAGATTTCATCCGAATTATCCGAAATCCGGATTAAAGGGGTCCGAATTAACGAGGGTCGACTGTATTTTTCATACGCGGTTTCAACTATACACAGATTACCCCAGGGGTTAGGTAACAATATCCAATTTCAAGCTAAAAAAATTTTCAAAATGAGTCGCCAGCCCGCCAAGCTCCCACCTCTCTCTTTTACAGTTGTGCTTGGGTATTGTCGGAGTAACACCTGCCTCTCGTGTGTGTCAATTTAGTGCACTTAAACCTCTCTCATACTCGTTTATAATGCCCAAACACAAGCCAACCTCTGCCTCTGGTCCTCCAGCAAAGAAACAACGCTCTGTGATGACCCTGGAAGAAAAAGTGGCCGTGTTAGACTTAATAAAAGGCAGCATGTTGATCGCTGCTGTGCCATGGAGGAATGTGCGGAACAAATCAAGCGCGAGTTCCATCAAGATTCGGGAGAGGGAAATTCGCGAAACTGTGTCCACAAGTGCCTCATTTACTGCCAGGTTAGAGACGTAAATCTAGTGAAGGTGGAGAAGGTATTAAACATTTAGGTGGAGGATATGAACCAGAAACGTGTCCCCATCGATGGCAACGTGCTCAGGGAGAAGGCACCGAGTCTTTATGACCAGTTTAAATCTGAGGTTCCTCAGGGCGAAGCATCCACCAGGTCTGTCTAAATAAAGTTTTTTAACTCGTATTTTACTCATTTACATGCACATACTATCTTAAATACATAATTGTCCTAAGGGCAAACCTGTACTGTACTCAAATGTACTAAATAATTAAAAATAACATGATGTCCAGTGCAAACTATAGCATGTTTATATTAAAATTAATCACTATCTTACAAGAATTTCAGCAATGCAAGTTATATTCTCCCAGGTCAATTTATTGACATTTTATAAGTGAAAAACTTAAACTCGTCTGTATGACAGATAAATAAATAAGCACTGGGTAAACCTTGGCGCCGGCTGTCAAAACACCTCCCCCATCCTCCCAGCCAGGGTTTGGTGGTTTTAGGCTTAAAGTTTTTATCTTATAAAATATCACAGACTAAAGTTAGGAGAATATAAGTTGCATTGCTGGAATCCTTGCAAGACAGTGAATTATTTTAATATAGACATCATACATTTGGCACAAGAGAAAAAAAAAAAGAGCGTACATTTTATAACAAGTTTTTCAACTGTATTTTTGGGTAGATATACGTAACTTTCTTAATTTATTGTTACTCATTTACATGCACACACCATCCTTAATACATATTGTGAATAAAAGGTAAAAGAAATAATTGTCCTAAGGGCAAAGCTGTACTGTACTGCACTCAAATGTACTAAATAAAAAAAGAAATTCTGTCAAGTGCAAACTATAGCATATTTATATTCAAATTAATCACTATCTTAGAAGTATTTCAGCAATGTAAGTTATATTCTACCAAGTAAATTCATTAACATTTTATAAGCGAAAAACTTAAACTCTTCTATATGACAGATAAGACGCAGTGGATTAATCTCCCCACCTGCTAGTGAATACCTCACCTCAACCCCCCCCCCCTTCTCCTCCTCCCCCTGCCTGGCTGTATATATATGTATATATAGTGATTTAAGTGCTATTTGGGGGATTTGTAGGATTGTTTCTACCTTTGTGCATTTTTTTGCTTTACGCTAGGTCCCAGGAACCTAACCCCTGCGTAGTTGCGAGTCTACTATACTCTTAAGACACTCATAGACTAAGGTTAAGTAGGAAGTTACCATAAAATCCACTCATAAACAAATAAATAGTGTTCCAAGAAAACTATTCATAATAAATGTAATTGTAATACTGTCACTAGACTCAGATACCAATTATGGCGGGGGAGGGGTAGTGAAACAATTATACATAAATACACACACACACACAGTTAGAAAGGTTATACAGTCTATAAGTTGAAGAAAATCACTGCACAAACGAGAAATCAAAAGAACTCTTTGATGGCCTTCAATTCAGGTGTAGTTCGATAAGGTGAGAATAAAACTGTAACACTTATATAAGCATACCACCACCCTCGACCCTGAATTCCAACAAACAAACTGAATGCCGAGAGCAATTGACGTGCCATCAATACATTAGTGGCAAAACTAATAGACACTGCCGCTCGATAGGAGGTTTGCCGAGTAGATGAATTTTTTTTCGCTTTACCATCAACCGCACTGTTCTTTGGGAGGTTTGCTGGGGAATGGAATTCTCAAAACAATCCCATTTTTGGGGAGTTGCCATATGTTAGAGATGTTGAATATGGGAGCTTCAACCTGTACTAATTGGGGAACCCAGCATTGCCCAAGTTTGTTTATGAGGAGCAGCTTATAGCTAGAGTCTTAAATACAGTACAGTTGTACCCGCTTAACGCGGTCAATTGAACCCACAGGGTACCGCGTTAAGTGAACAACAGAACATATGGGATTAATTCCAATAGAGACTGGCCCGACCCCCAAACTCCACTTTTTTACGACACACAACTATGTTCTAGTAAAAATAACATCTTAATTTTATGATGGTACATGCACACAATTAATACTTAAGAGAAATAGAGAAATACAGTCGCCAAGTTAATGTCCATTCAAATAATGGACTCGACTCCCTCCCCCTCTTCTCACACTACACTGCTGGCTCTTCCCTCTCTGAGAAATTTTTGGGGGAAAACCACTAGATTTTAATCAATAATACCTCAAACTAAAGTTAGGATAATATAATTGACATTGCTGGATTCCTTGTAAGACCAGGAATATTTTGAATATAAATGTCATATATTTTGCACAAAAGATAACATATTTACTCAGAGTAAACATTATATCTAGAATTTGTATGTCTAATGCAAAATCTATGATGTTTATATTCAAAATGATCATCATATTGTATGAATTCCAGCAATGTAAATTATATTCTGGCCGGGTAATTTGTATGAATTTTATGAGCTAAATAAAAAAAATATATATTATACTTCACCGCGTATATGAGTAGATGAACCAAGTTAAGTGAAAGTTCGGTTCTGGCGAGGCACTGCGTATATGAGAAATAGCGTTAAGTGAAACCGCGTTAAGCGGGGTACAGCTGTATATGTAGCCCTTATGGTGTTACAACCCTAGGGTAGATCGTTACATAACACAAATTGCTGAAGTCTTTCAAATATATCAGTATAATTTATTTTATGAATAATCCCAAGTTCCCCCAACAAATGTCAATTTAACAGGTCAAAACCTAAACAAGTCAATAAATATATGAACATTTAATAATGTATTCCCACCGCCACATGTGTACGTAAAATAAAACAAATATCAATAATAATATGTTTGGAAGTGGCTGAGTGAAGACTGAAGATCCAACAAGATCACAGAAAATCAATATCAAGCAATAACAAATCTCAATCTTCAAATGCCAACTCCCAAAACACCAGAGAGAGGGTATACTCAACTCAAGACAGCTGTGCCTAGACTGACTAAAGTGTATCAGATGGCCACTGACGTCACCTCTGTACCGCCAAATACTGACGTATCATATCCGGATTGGCCTATACGTAAACTTTATTTGAATTACCCTACTGACATTAGATCCACAATCTAACCTATATACAAACATAATACAATCAATAACACATGAGAGACAACTGTTGCATTAATGAATACGCAAAGTGATAATTTAATCAAACAAATTTAATACGTAAGCGATGGCTCAGTGAGTGTGGGCGAGTAATGAGCGAAACTGCTCGAGCCAACCACACACCATCCGAACCAACGTGTTTCATACCCAGAACAGAAACTTATGGCAGACACTCGTAACAATGAGAAGGAGAAAAGTTTTAAAAAGTTATTATGTTTTATAGAAACTTGTTAAACAAAGTGGGAAATATATGACTGAAATACAGGTATGTAGTAAATAAGAGGATTTAGAACTTAATAGATGTACTGTACATGGAGGTACAGGTTGACAACTCTTTATCCGGAACCTCTGAAAACCCAAAGAGTTTTTGTGGAGCCTTTTTATATATATATATATATATATATATATATATATATATATATATATATATATATATATATATATATATATATATATATATATATATATATATATATATATATATATATATATATATATATAACAGGGATTAGCCCACCCGAGCACAGGTCACTGACCCACATTGGGGCCTGGGGGCAAAAATGTAATAATAATTATTATTCATAGTCAATAAAATTTATCAAAAAAATACACAAAAATAAAATAACAATAATAATAATAAAATTAATAATAATAATACTGTAATAATAAAATAATAATAATAAAGAAATACAAGAATTTAAAAAAGATCAGAAGTGAGAAACACAACCTACACCTATGAATTATTATTATTATTTTTATAATTATTATTATTATTATTATTATTATTATTATTATTATTATTATTATTATTATTATTATTATTATATTTTAGCCCCTTAAGCCCCAATGTGGGTCAGTGACCACTGCCCGGGTGGTCTGATCCCTGTAAAAAAAAATAATAATGCCTGTAATAATAATATAAAAAAAAAACCCTAACCTAACCATTCTGAAATCCGAAATGCATCTGGCCCCAAGGATTTCGGATAAGGGATTGTCAACCTGTAATGGAATGTTGTGAATAGTTCTATTCTGGAAATCAGGACAGATGCAAGATGAAAATATAGAATGTACAAAAATTATCGAGGGAAAGATTAATGTGTACAATATGTATTCTGTAGGAAAAAGGGTGGGGACAAGATGTATATGATTAAAGGAAAATATTCTCGGTGCATCATTTCTTATGCAGGTAAAGGCTGCAGAAAGTGAATCCAACAGTCTGTGTAAAGAACTGAGAGAGGTGAAACAGCAGACAGATCACTGGCAGAAACGGTTTAGTGAGAAGAACACAGAGGCGGAGGAACAGGCTGCAAAGCAGATTGAGGTGAGTAAACTTTCTTTGACATAGAGAGAAAACTTAGGAAGTTCATTGTGAAGTAATGAATGAATATATATATAATCTGTTCAGCTTTTATCTTCCCTTCATAAGCAGAGGTACATTGATTTGTAGACATAGTATACATATTTTATATACAGTACTGGCATCTCTCTCTCTCTCTCTCTCTCTCTCTCTCTCTCTCTCTCTCATATATCTGTAATTACATAGTGTACATATTACATATACTGGCATATATATATATATATATATATATATATATATATATATATATATATATATATATATATATATATATATATATATATATATATATATATATATATATATATATATATATATATATATATATAGTATATGCTGATAACCACAAGGAAAGAAGAAAACACGAAGTTCCCAAGCGCTTTCGTGTAATTCACATCTTCAGGGGTGAGTACAGACTAGAGAGAGTAATACAAATCAAGGTGTATATATACAGAGGAGGGTGAGACCAGGTCCACAATGGTCAGGTATTAGGTAATGACCCTACTAATCTTTAAATAGCACACAACGGTTGGTGGTCAGGTCAGATGGTCAAGTGACCCGGCCTTCTCACCTGATCACAAATCTTCTTAATTACAAAATTGTCCAGCTTGTACATGCCGTTACTCAAATTCATGTTGAATGCTTCGGTATGTTTAATAAGACTAGATTCTATGATGTTCCTACTGTCAATTGACTTACATGGTAATATTGAGGAGGCATTATCCCAGTCAATGCAATGCTTGTTATCCCTCAGATGAACAAACAGAGCATTGGATTCCTGGCCTGTCCTAACACTGTATTTGTGTTGTTTAATTCTAGTTGCAAGATCTTTACCTGTCTGGCCTAAGTAAAACATATTACATTCCTTGCAAGGAACTTTATAAATGCAACCAATTGTGTTGTTGGGGGAGTTCTTGATTAACATTTGTTTAACAGTGCATGAGTTTTTAAATGCCACATTGACGTTCCAGGTTTTTAGCTGTGCAGGAATGTGTGAGAAATTTTTGTGAAATGGTAATATTAAGATATTCTTATGGTCATGGGTGGGCTTGGGGTCAGTTCTATAAAAAGTTTTCTTAGTAATGTTTAAGCATTTGTCTATGAAAGATCTAGGGTATTTAAGGTTTGAGCCAATATCATATATATATTTGTATTCCTCATCGATGAATTCCGGACTGCAAATTCTCAAGGCACGTAAAAACATTGTTGAAAATACTGACTGTTTGACTTTATTATGGTGGGCAGAATAATAATGAATGTATGAACACATATTAGTTGGTTTTCTATAAATACTGAACTTAAAAGTGTTACCTATTCTGTGTATCAGACAGTCTAGGAATGGCAATTTACAGTCTTGCTCTAATTCCACAGTGAATTTGATCGAGGGGGCTAAGTTGTTAAGTTGTGGTAGGAAAGCTTTTAGGTCCTCATTACATGGCCAGAGACATAATACATCATCAACATATCTAAACCAGACTGCTGAGGGTGGTAAAATATTACTTAATAGTTTCTTTTCAAAGAATTCCATATATAGGTTGCTTAATACAGGTGAGAGTGGATTACCCATTGCCATACCAAATTTTTTAGCATAATATTCCCCATTGAATTCGAATTTGCAATCCTTAATACAGAGTTTGATGAGTTCGATGAAGTCGTCTTTCGAGACGGGCAGTGAAATGTTATCCAGGGAATCTATGAGGAACTCTAGTAAATCATCAACTGGGACCTTTGTAAAGAGTGACGTTACATCAAAGCTGACCAGTTTAAAATCATGATTAATGTGTAAGTTATTGAGTTTATCAACCAGATCCATATTATTCTTGATATTGGAGTTAGAAATGTTGCCAACTAGGGGATTTAGTAAAGAAACTAACCATTTAGATAGTTTATAAGAGATTGACCCAACTGAGCTAATGATGGGTCTTGCTGGGTTATTGGGCTTGTGGGTCTTGATTACACCGTACATGTATGGCAGTGGAGGGGACGTTGAAGTAAGATGTTTAATGAGCGTAGCTTTGCCTCTCAATAGGGACTTCAGTTTTTTGTTGAACTGGGTGTTGACAGTGTTGAGAGGATTATTTATAAGTTTAGAATATGTTGTGGTATCACATAAGAGGTCATTCATTTTAGAGATATAGTCATCTTTGTTTAAGATCACTACTGTGTTGGCTTTATCTGCTTTAGTGACATGTAGATCCTTATTTTTCTTAAGGGCTTGGATTGCTTTGGTGAATCTTTCTGGACAGTTTGGAACACAAGGCTTGGACATAGATGCATACACGACACCTTTACACATGTTCACTTCTTCACTTGTCAAATTACTGAATTTCTCCAAATTGCAAAATACTCTGGCTTTGTCAACACTGTCGACTCCCTTGTTAGAACCATCAAAACTTAAACCATAGCCGAGGGCACACAAGGTATCATTGTCTAGTTGTTTCAAGGAGAGATTCACTACACAGTTGTTATTGGCATCCTTAGTCCAATCACTATTTCTAATAAGGAGTGCCAATTTGTGGTCTATCTTGGCTTGAAGATCAGAACGCTCACGTCTCAGGTTATCAAAACAGTAGTCTAACATGAACTTTTTCCAATAGCTCGGTATGGTCATATTAAAAGCGCGCTTTTTTGTCTTACAATACGGAAGGCTTCATCCACTTCAATTTTCTTTATTTCAAAATGTTTCTTAAGGATGATTTCTTGGAACTCATCAAAGGGGCGGTCAGACATCTTCAGGACACGTTGTGGGAGGATTGATCTAGGCATAACTTTTTCACTCAGGCATGTCTGGAGAAATTTCAAACGTATTTTCAATTTGTGGGCCTTGATCATCGAAGAGGAGTATTCAGTAACGAAAGGAGACAGTCCAGGACAGCTTGGAGAGAGGATGAAGAAGTGGCGCGTGGAATCCATTTATGCAAGTAAATCACTGTAGGTGCGCGTGATCTAGGTATATGCTGATAGGCCAGACAGGTAAAGATCTTGCAACTAGAATTAAACAACACAAATACAGTGTTAGGACAGCAAGCATTGCATTGACTGGGATAATGCCTCCTCAATATTACCTTGTAATTCAATTGATAGAAGGAACATTATAGAATCTAGTCTTATTAAACATACCGAAGCACTCAACAAGAATTTGAGTAATGGCATGTACAAACTGGACATATATATATATATATATATATATATATATATATATATATATATATATATATATATATATATATATATATATATATATATATATATATATATATATATATATATATATATATATATATATCCAGAATTACAAGGAAATAAATGTAGAAACAATAAAAATTTTAATCAGGATTCATTGCCAAGTACTGTATTTCACAGACTGCTTTTTCCAAAACATAGAATTAAGAAATAAAATCTCTTCCAGCTCATGAAGAAAATGCTTGATCTAGAGGAAGAAAATGATAATATGAAGTCTAAGGTGTTGCTTCTTCAAGGACGTATAAAGAGGCTGAAATCTGAAAAGAATGGTAAAGAAGCACCTGATGGTCGAGCAGACAAAGAACTAAGAAATCAAAATGTGAAATCAGACGCATCAAGTTCAAGTGCAAATAATCCTCAAAAAGAAGCTACAAACAGTCTGGGATTACAAGGATCTGACAGTCAAGAAATTGTGGAAAGTTCACTGACTCAGGTGTCCAGGAACTCTACAGTATCCCAAATAACTCGCCGTGCTGTAACTCGCCGAGCATCAACACTACTTTCTGTACCCACTGCTCCCAAGGAATCTTCAACTAAAATTTCTTCAAAGAGCCCCAAAGAAAAAAGCACCAAACCACAAAGGTCTTCTGCTGTTAGCATGGATGAATATTCTACTCATAATTCATCCCAGTCTGATCGATTACGGACACTGCGTACCCGTGGACGCAGCACAAGTACTGTGACTCTCCTTGGAGATGAAACCATGAAACAAGCCATAAAGCGAGTTTCATCTTCCACATCTGTCACAAAGGATAAAAAGAAACGTCAATCAACCATAACTGCTGTTCCTGAGTCACCAGGCTTTGTGGAGACCCTTTCAACAAAGTTGAAAGGGGGTAAGTTCACCCCTTCTTTTTGTCAATTAGTTATTCTTATAATTACTGTATAATAAGTGTTTTTTACAATGGTACTTTATTCCATAATAAGACTATAAATCTGGTTTACTTTAGGCTTTTCACACAACCTGGCATCATCCGTCAGTAAAGTGTGCTTCCCCAGAAGATAATTTAATGGTATTCTCCACACTCATTCATGTACACTTATAGTGCATCTTTCACCCTATCCATCCATCTCCATTATGTTCTATCCTTCACTCCTGAGCAGTTGCTCCAAGTATATAAGGGATTCATTCGTCCTAACTTGGGGTACTGCTCTCATATCTGGGGTGGCTCTTCTTCTGTCCAACTATTAGATAGGGTGGAATCAAAGGCATTTCGTCTTATTAACTCTCCTCCTTTAGTCGACAATCTCTCTCCCCTTTCTCTTCGCCGCAATGTTGCTTCACTCTCTCTCTTTTACAGGTACTTTAACGGGCAATGTTCAGTGGATTTGGCATCCTGTGTACCGCCGGCAAGGCCGTGGGTTCGTAACACACGTCTTGCCCGCGGTGCCCACCATTTCTCTGTGGATGTCGGTCACACGAGAATAACCCGTTATAGTACCTCCTTCTTTCCTCACACAGCCAAACTGTGGAATGCTCTGCCTTCTTCTGTGTTTCCATGCTCTTACAATCTGTCTCACTTTAAAAAGCTGGTTTTCCGGCATCTTCGTGGTGTAGATTAATACAGTATAACCTTTTTTTCTATATTTTCAATTTCTTTCCGTTCTTTTTTTTTCGCCCCCCAGGCTCCGTTGTGGGTCGTTTGACCTGTGCCCGGGGGCTAATTCCAAAAAAAAAAAAAAATCCTGCCATCCACTTCCAAGTTATACACACTTTATACCAGTCTTTCATTTCCCATTCACTCATTGTGTGCATACCACTATTCCATCTATTTTTAATTTGGATCACACTTGGCCAGAGCTTAGCCAACCTATGGGGCTTCCAACTTACAGGGGTTATACTGTAGTTTACATCCTTTGCATTTCCTGTCTTGAGTACAGACTGTAGGCTGGTGGCAACTCAGCGAGGCCAATTGGGAGACTTTTTTTGCAGGGGAATTATTTGGCACTGATGCTTGATGGACGACCCTTGACACCAATATAAAACTCAGCTGGAACGGTAGATTTTTGGGCTGGTCCAGTAACTCTAAAATTTACCGGTTCCAGATTCGAGTTTGGTTCCACATCACTGGGATATAGTGATGGGAATCAACCACAGCAACTGCTTTTGCAGCTACCCCTGGATTCATCTATACTAAATGAAAGTGATCTACAATTGATATGGATGTTGCCAATTAAAGCGTATAATTCATTAAACAGAGAAATTGCTGCATCTACTGTCTTCGCGGTCAAAGAAACTAGGTCTCTAAAGACCTTCCTCTGATTGCTTCTTTTTCTCTACCTGGTTGAGACTTGTTAATATTGAAGAGGTAGTGGAAATTTTAAGAATTGGGAGGATGGAATGCAGTCAAGGGAAATGAGAGTGAGGTGTCAAAAAACAAAAGTAATTCTAGTAACGTAGGTGAGGACATTTGGGGGAAAGTGAAATACTGTTAGACCATGTGCTATCTGTAAGAAAGGTGTTTGCAGTTAGCTGTACTTAGTAATGTGGTGTAAATTGCACAGACTGCAGGATGGTGCTGACTAATTGTGCTGTACGAGTATATGCATAAAAACGTGTGTCATTACTCTTAGCAAGGCTGGAAATACAACATATGGGGCTACATCCCTAGACTGTGTCAATGAGTTTTGTTACCTGGGTGATATCAGTGTTGGAAGTGGCGTTGAGTCAGGATTGACTTGAAGAGTTTTAGCGAGTTTTTTGCCTTTGTTGACAGCAAGAGGACTTTCCCTCCATATGTGAAGTATGATATTATATGATGGTAAAATATTACCAGTTAAAAAGAATGACATGTGTGCTTGAGTGAGTTGAAATGAGAATTGTGAGGTGGATGTGTAATGTGACGTTGAAAGATGGGAAACCCAGCCCAAACCTACGTAAGTGAGTGGCTAGGTCCTAAGAGTATTGGCGTGGGCTTGCATGGAGATAGGCTAAAGTGGTTTGGTCATATGGAGACTGTAAAGGCCTAGCCTGTGGGATATAATTGCCTTGCCAGCCTAATCAGGATTTTATAAAAAGGAAAGTCAAGAACTATGGGTTTCCAATGGGTAACAAACAACCGTTCGAGATTGACATCTCTTTACTACGAAAATAATCACAATAATTTAACTCTGACACCACTCGCACAAATATTAAATAAACAGCACTGGAGTCAAACAATTACTTGAAACAAAACAATCAATACAACATCGTACAGGTATTTCCTACGGCTGCAGATGAAATTTTCTCCTGACGAGCACGATGGAATGTTCTGGTAACGCGGTGATCCGCTCTCAGGGGGAAGGTCCAGGGCAGCTTCCTCACTTGTCATTGGTGGGCGATGTCTTGCCACACAGGAGAGACGCCAGGGCACGAACGGTGGATAGGGCATGGAGGAAGTGGCGGCAGTAGCTGGAGTAGGCGACCAGAGTTGACAGCCGAATAGTCAAGGACTGGGGAATCAGCCCACGAGCCCCAGGAACCTCAGATGTGTACACAACCAGAGTTGGAATCGAACAGCGGGGGAAGTAGCAGCTGTGGTCAAGACTGGATCGTGTCTGGTGTGCGATTAGGCAGCAGCGACCTTCTCACCTCTGTCTACCCCCCTAGTGGGGCCGCGAACAAACCAATGAGCGGCGGACAACCATCCCGCTCGTTACAGAGACACTGGAGAATTACAACTGAGTCAAGAGCTGCATGAGTTTGAATGTGGAGGGGATGAGAGCTAAGGTGGATGTAGTTATTAATTTCTTTACCAAATCATTAATTTTGCATGACTGAGTCAAAGGCATATTTAATTACACAGCAATAGAGTTAGACAGTGATCAGCTGTGGATTATGGGGATGCTGTTTGTTTATCTTTTTTCATGGGAGCTTTTATTTAGATGAGAATTTATAAATTTTCTTCCTATTCCAGTCTTCTTCATATTGCAGGAAACTTCAGACATATCATTGAATTATAGTCTTGATAATCTCATTTTGGCTTAACAGGAATTGGTTTTCACTCCTTTAAATTTCTGCAAAGGTTTTTCCTATCATTCCTTTTTACATGACACATGTATAAGTAAAGTTTCTTGAGTTGCTTCACTTCTTTAATCTTGTACAGTAGTAAATGTAACTTAGGGTGATTGTACACATGCACACACACACACACACACACTTTATCCTTTCCCTTTTTATCCTATCTCCCTCTTCCCCCCTCTCCCTTGTGTGTGTATGTGTGCATTCAAATCAGGTTGACATAAAAAATGCTGCTCTAATATGGACTTTTTGTCCAGACCACACCTTGGTTGAACTAGTTTGAATTGAGGATTGGAGGGGTTTTGGGTTTTAGTGTACAATTTATGGGCAGCATTCCTAAACAAGAAAAAGTTAGCCGTGGATGGTGGTGAGCTTAGTGCACAATACATAAACTGAATTAAATGCTGTTAACCCTTTGTGTATGGTGTCACCTCTTGAGTTGAATAAAATCTTCTGACATTAGCCAAATGAAATAACTGTACAGTTTTGTACTAAGAGTGGCATCCCTGTAGTGAAGGGGTTAAGAGACCTGTACTGAGAAACTTCTCCAGGGAACACTGGTATAAACGTCTGATAAGCGGTTAAGCATTAGTAATCTAACCTATTAGATCTGGCAAAAGGGGAATGTTACATCTATGGTCTTAACCATGCAATATAAAAAAATAATCCTTTGGTATTGAATTAGGGAGTTTAGCATACTGTTATAAATTATAAGGAAATGTAAACACACATTAAGGAAAGTATTTTTGTACAGTTATTTCTTCCTCTTCTTCTGTTATAAAAATTTTTCAACTGTTGTTAGACAAACTATAGTGGATGAGGACAATTATAATTGTCCTCTTTCGTGTGAATATCATTTTTTGCAAAATATTTACTCCTAACAGGTCTGAATGATTTATCATCAGGTGTTGAGAGCCCTGGGGTACTGCAGCGTTCAACTACTTTGGCCAAGAAGATGAATCCCAAGGAAATGTTGCAGGTAAATACAATATTTGCATTTGAATTTCCCTGAAAGTAGCAATAAAAAATATACCTATCATGTGCTACTTACATCTTAAAGGAGGCTAATTGGCAAAGGAGAGGTTGGCAGTGCTACTTACAGTGAAGGGAAGTGCATAATGACCACCAGTTGCAAGTAGGTACTGCAGTAATAAAATACAAGCAGTGTACTATACCCTCGTCAATATGGCAAAAAAGGGGTTCTGAGTTACTTGAATTACTGGAAATCCTAATTAACCGAGTTTGGAATATTTTGACATTATTCGACAATTACCGAATTTTTTTGTTCGAATATTCGTTCATTTTATGTTCAGTTTTTGCGCCTTGCTCTGGCTGCCACATAAAATAATCTATTTATAATTACTCTGCAAAGGCACTTAACCAGCACCCACATTATACAGCACTACTAAACCATTGCCTTATGACATTTTAATATTTAATTTCTATTTTAAAATTAATTAATACATGATGGCACAATTTGGCTACTTTTGCACTAAGACAACTGATCAGTGAATAAAAAGGGCATATGGAGACGCATTATACAGTACAGTATTACCCCGCGGTTTCACTTAAGGCAATTTCTCATATATGCGGTGCCTCGCCAGAACCGCGGTTCATCTACTCCTATACACGGTGAAGTATAATATTTTTTTGTTTTTTTATTTAGCTCATAAAATTCATACAAATTATCCGGCCAGAATATAATTTACATTGCTGGAATTCTTACAATATGATGATCATTTTGAATATAAACATCATAGATTTTGCATTAGACATACAAATTTTAGATATAATGTTTACTCTGAGTAAATATGTTATCTTTTGTGCAAAATATGTGACATTTATATTCAAAATAGTCCTGGTCTTACAAGGAATCCAGCAATGTCAATTATATTATCCTAACTTTAATCTGAGTTATTATTTATTACTAAAAATGTAAATTACTATTTTCTCCCAAAGCTTCTCTGGTAGGGAGGGTTGGTGGGGGGTGGGGTGGAGGGTTGGGACGGACCAACCATCTGGCACGGTGTGAAGAATATTTTTTTTTATTATTATTATTAACTGAAGACATTTGTTTTAGCTCATAAAATTCATACAAATTACCCGGCCAGAATATAATTTACATTGCTGGAATTCTTACAATATGATGATCATTTTGAATATAAACATCATAGATTTTGCATTAGACATACAAATTTTAGATATAATGTTTACTCTGAGTAAATATGTTATCTTTTGTGCAAAATATATCACATTTATGTTCAAAATATTCCTGGTCTTACAAGGAATCCAGCAATGTCAATTATATTATCCTAACTTTAATCTGAGGTATTATTTAATACTAAACGTTAAAATCTAGTTTTTCACCCAACATTTCTCTTGTAGGGAGGGTTGGTGGGGGGAGGGTTGGGACGGACCGACCATCTGGCGCGGTTGGAAGAGGGGGGGAGGCAATGTGGGGTACTTTGATTGACAGATAGTGTCATGAAGAATATTTTTTTTTATTATTAACTGAAGATATTTGTTTTAGCTCATAAAATTCATACAAATTACCCGGCCAGAATATAATTTACATTGCTGGAATTCTTACAATATGATGATCATTTTGAATATAAACATCATAGATTTTGCATTAGACATACAAATTTTATATATAATGTTTACTCTGAGTAAATATGTTATCTTTTGTGCAAAACATATGACATTTATATTCAAAATATTCCTGGTCTTACAAGGAATCAAGCAATGTCAATTATATTATCCTAACTTTAGTTTGAGGTATTATTTATTAGTAAAAAGGTAAATGTTCTGGTTTTCCCACACATCTGGGAGGGAGGGACGGACCGACCATCTGGCACGGTGTGAAGAATATTTTTTTTTTATTATTATTATTAACTGAAGATATTTGTTTTAGCTCATAAAATATAATTTACATTGCTGGAATTCTTACAATTTGATGATCATTTTGAATATAAACATCATAGATTTTGAATTAGACATACAGTACAAATTTTAGATTAATGTAAGTATTTTGTTTATTCTGAGTAAATATGTTATCTTTTGTGCAAAATATATGACATTTATATTCAAAATATTCCTGGTCTTACAAGGAATTCAGCAATGTCAATTATATTATCCTAACTTTAATCTGAGGTATTATTTATTACTAAATGTTAAAATTTAGTTTTTTCACCCAACATTTCTCTTGTAGGTTGGGTTGGTGGGGAGTGGGGGGAGGGTTGGGACGGACCGACCATCTGGCGCGGTTGGAAGAGGGGGGAGGCAAGGTGGGGTACTTTGATTGACAGATAGTGTCGTGAAGAATTTTTTTTTTTTTTTTATTAACTGAAGATATTTGTTTTAGCTCATAAAATTCATACAAATTACCCGGCCAGAATATAATTTACATTGCTGGAATTCTTACAATTTGATGATCATTTTGAATATAAACATCATAGATTTTGCATTAGACATACAAATTTTAGATTAATGTAAGTATTTTGTTTATTCTGAGTAAATATGTTATCTTTTGTGCAAAATATGTGACATTTATATTCAAAATATTCCTGGTCTTACAAGGAATTCAGCAATGTCAATTATATTATCCTAACTTTAATCTGAGGTATTATTTATTACTAAATGTTAAAATTTAGTGGTTTTCCCCCCAAAATTTCTCAGAGAGGGAAGAGCCAGCGAGTGTAGTGTGAGAAGAGGGGGACTGAGTTGAATCCATTATTTGAATGGACATTAACTTGGCAACTGTATTTCTCTATTTCTCTTAAGTATTAATTGTGTGCATGTACCATCATAAAATTAAGATGTTATTTTTACTAGAACATAGGTATTGTGTTGGAAAAAGTAGAGTTTGGGGTCCGGCCAGTCTCTATTGGAATTAATCCCATATGTTCTGTTGTTCACTTTACGCGGATTTCACTTAACGCAGTACCCTGTGCGTTCAATTGACCGCGTAAATCTGGGTACTACTGTATGTATATATATATATACTGTGTATATATATATATATATATATATATATATATATATATATATATATATATATATATATATATATATATATATATATATATATAGACACACATACACAGTTTTTTTTTTTTTTCAGTTAGCGGAAAAAAATTGAGTGCCGCTTTCTGTACTTTCATTCCGCAACACAGGATAAAATGTTGAAAAATTCTGGGATTTTTGCTGTAACTGTAATCTATAAATTGTAATAAATTTTATAACTGATGCGATAGAAAACGGCATTTCAGAGGGATGTTGCTTTGTCACTTTACTTCCAAACTTCAAATGTACAGTATGCGTTGAAGGTATGTATTGCAGAAATTAAACAAAATATTCTTTATTGGTGTCATTAAATAAGATTATCTTGTTTGTCTTTCCCCAGGAGAGTGGTCCCCTGAGATCTTTAAACCCCAACAGTCCAGTTCGACCCAGCACCAGACGAGCTCCCACTCACCGTACCTCAAGTGTTGGCACTCGCACAAGGGCCTCAAGCTCTACTGCCCGTGGGGATGACTGCAAAGTTCAGTAAGCAGTGTTAATTTAAGTTATGAAAATAATAATAATAATGGTATTTCTAAAGAGAGAAGTTTGGGATATTTTTTTAGTTCTCAGATTTGAAATAGTAGTTTTGTTGGCAAGAGTAGATATATAGAGACTGATATACACTGGCTAGCATTTATATTTATACTTGTGTTCAAGTATAGATCAGGCTGCTGAAATTTTAATATCACTTTTGAATAATCTCAAGTTTTCTGATTTATACTCAAAAGTTTTTCCACCCACTTTTCAATATTCCAATTGTAATTATTAAAAACATTCTTTTTTTGTGTGTGTGTGTGTGTGAAAAGCCATGCAAGTTATAACCTAACCATTTGTAGGTTACAAATTGTTTGAGTACGTATTGCAGGTCTTTCTTGAAAACTTGTACAGTACTATACAGAATTTGTTCTTTTCATGTTTACATTTGATTGACCAACATTCATTTCAGTGTTCATTGGAATACACGAATTTCACATATGACATACAGTATTATATCAGGTTCTATGGTCTCTTAAGTTATATGAACAATTATCAGGATTGCTTTTGCTCCTATAGCCATAATCCCAATACACCAAAATATTGTAGGTGTAGTTTGGATTGACTGATGGATCGCTTCTTAGTTATTTGGTAATTCCTGTAACTTTAATTTAAAAAAGTTTAGATAGATATATACAGTCAACCCTCACTTTACGCTGTCCCACATTCCGCGTTTCCACGTTTACGCGGTGCCCTGCCAGAACCCAGGATGCTCACATTCCGCGGTGGGTGTACCCCTTTACACGGTGAAGTATAATTTTTTTATTTAGCTCATAAAATTCATACAAATTATCCGGCCAGAATATAATTTACATTGCTGGAATTCTTACAATTTGATGATCATTTTGAATATAAACATCACAGATTTTGCATTAGACATACAAATTTTAGATATAATGTTTACTCTTGAGTAAATATGTTATCTTTTGTGCAAAATATATGATATTTATATTCAAAATATTCCTGGTCTTACAAGGAATCCAGCAATGTCAATTATATTATCCTAACTTTAGTCTGATTTATTATTTATTACTAAAAAGGTAAACAGTCTGGTATTCCCACACATTTATCTAGTAGGGACGTTGGTGGGGGGGAGGGAGGGAGGGATCGGCGACCGACCATCTGTTACCGTGTGAAGAATATATATTTTTTTTTTTATTAACTGAAGATTTTTATTTTAGCTCATAAAATTCATACAAATTACCGGGCCACAATATAATTTACATTGCTGTAATTCTTACAATTTGATAATCATTTTGAATATAAACATCATATATTTTGCATTAGACAAAATTTTTAGATATAATGTTCACTCTGAGTAAGTATGTTATCTTTTGTGCAAAATATATGACGTTTATATTCAAAATATTCCTGGTCTTACAAGGAATCCAGCAATGTCAATTATATTATTCTAACTTTAATCTGAGGTATTATTTAATACTAAATGTTAAAATCTAGTTTTTTCACCCACTCTTTCTCTTGAAGGGAGGGTTGGGACGGACTGACCATCTGGCTGGTTGGAAGATGGGGGAGGCAAGGTGGGGTACTTTGATTGACAGATAGTGTCGTGAAGAATATTTTTTTTTTTTATTAACTGAAGATATTTGTTTTAGCTCATAAAATTCATACAAATTACCCGGCTAGAATATAATTTCCATTGCTGGAATTCTTACAATTTGATGATCATTTTGAATATAAACATCATAGATTTTGCATTAGACATACAAATTTTAGATGTAATGTTTAATCTGAGTAAATATGTTATCTTTTGTGAAAAATATATGACATTTATATTCAAAATATTCCTGGTCTTACAAGGAATCCAGCAATGTCAATTATATTATCCTAACTTTAGTTTGAGGTATTATTTATTACTATACCTGGTTTTCCCCAAAAAATTTCTCAGAGGGAAGAGCCAGCAGTGTAGTGTGAGAAGAGGGGGAGGGATTGTGTCCATTATTTGAATGGACATTAACTTGGCAACTGTATTTCTCTATTTCTCTTAAGTATTAATTGTGTGCATGTACCATCATAAAATTAAGATGTTATTTTTACTAGAACATAGGTATTGTGTTGGAAAAAGTGGAGTTTGGGGGTCAGCTGGTCTCTATTTCATTTAATCCCATATGTTATGTTATTCACTTTACGCGTTTCTCACTTTCCGCGGTACCCTGTGGGTTACATTAACTGCGTAAAGTGAGGGTTGACTGTAGATGCTGCATATGAAATTTTCATTGTAATGTGGAATTGGACATATTTGTTTATTTTGTGAAATGTGATTAGATTAGTTATGGGTTAATTTCGGTGATAAATAATCCGTTTTCTAATTTGTTGCTTTTGTTTGTGTATACTGAACAATACTGTGTTACATACTAGGCTTTCATTTTGTTTTCTCATTATTATGGATAGATTATTATGGTTTCTGATTCTATAGAAGGAAAGTACATACATATCATAGACAAAATATTATGTAATATAATACCTACCCTGTATATTAAGGAACTGTGTGGTACTGTAGTCAACTTCCTATCTCTTTACAAAATCCTTTTTCAGGGAATTCAGAATATAGTATATAGAAATTGTATGTTTTATGTTATTTCAGAATGTACAGTATTCCTATCCAAATCCAAAATTAAATTAGGAGAAATGTTTAGTACTATAATGGTATTTAGCCTTACTACATAATATATTTTGTTTGTGTTACATATTATATAGGGATATATTTTTTCCTTTTCTTTTGAAGAATAGCTTATAAGGGTACAAAAATTCTAAAAGTCACAATATATGCAACTTGTGTAGTGAACAGAAATTCCAGGTTCTGTAAGATACCAGTGTACTGCAGTTTGACATTGTTCATGTAAAAGCAGCAACTCTTCTTTGTCTTTAACTTTTGTATATAATATATATTTTCAAAACAAATTAAAAATATAATTTCTCTGTTATTTTACCTTTTTACTGGACAAACCCGTCGACATTTCCCTCTTAGTTTTTAGGAGGGGGGTTGGACCCTTGTAGTCAACTTGTTTTATATGGTGCAATTTTTTCAAATTTTGATCATATACAGTATATGAGAAATTAATATCTGGGGGAAAAATTAAATACAAGATAATATGCAAAAGAAGAGAGAGGAGGACAAGGGAGCAGTTTTGAGAAGATGGAAAAACCGCATTGAAAGCTTCAGGGTGATGATACTTACCTTGTAATAAGTACTGTAGTGTAAACATAAGAGGAAATCTTATAAGCCCCCACCGCTGGGAACATGATTCAGACTAATACTATGCCAAAATACTGTACTTGTCATACGTTAATTTATATGTTGCAATAAAGAGCATTCATAAAACACTTTCAAGGAGAGCATTCTATGTATTTATGGGCCTCTTAGCATTGTGGTTCTCCAATGATCAGATTTAGTTAACTTGAAACTGGCCACTCAGAGTACTGGAACTGCATTGCATTTGAATTTTTTGAGAAGTGAGTGTCTGTATCCATGCAGAACCTGAATCATGTCTTCTCTCTCCCTCCTATCTTGTAGTCTCTGTTGGGCTTACAATAAGCCCACAACATTTGCTGGTTTAAATTTCATGGATTTTATTATTCACAGGTGCAACCATTATGTACCTGTTCTTTCACAGGCATGTGATTTGGTTATTCATAGTTTGTGGTCGCATTTTCTCATAGTTCCGTGAGCCACGGTTCCTCGGGATGTTTGTGTTTAGTTTACACGACCATGCCACACATAACAACATGGTCGCTCAATCTCCAGCGTCTGTCACGGTAACATCTGCAGCTCAGCTATTCACTCAACTATTATCACTCTTTCTGATGACTTTTTGTCCGTAAATTCTTTTAAACATACATTGAGTGAATCAAGTGAAAAGAGACAAAAGAAAGTGATGACTTTAAGTCAAAAAGTGAAGTTGCTTGATCACCTTGCTTGGGGTAATAGTGTGGGATGCCATTATGGTGTTAATGAGTCAACTGTGCACTCAATCAGGAAAAATTAGGCAAATATTCATGCAAGTGCTAAATTAACATTTCAAATCCGTGACACTAACATGGAAAAAATGGACCACGCCCTTAATTTGTGGATAGAAGACCAATCACAGAAAAAAATTCCTCTAATCAAAGCGGGGTGGGGGGTTCTGGACACCCCCCTTTTTCATCAGAAACTTCCAATACTTTTTCTTTAATGCAGTATTGTACTCAGACAATTTTGTGCAGTAAAAAGTAATTAATATTGCCTTCAGAATATCTCCTAATATTAATTGTACACGGCTTTAAAATGTCCATGATATTTAGTCCATGGAAATTAGACAAGTTTCATGCCAAATGTTGAACTAATTCATAATGAAATGATACTTGATAGAATTATTGGTAATACGTTCCTAAACAACATACTAATCATCCTGATCAATCCTAAGGTGAGCTTTCGCTGCCCTCTTGAAAAAATGGCGGCCGTTCGTGGTTTTTCATGTTTTACTCATTAACTGTTGATTTTAGGAAGATGACTCTTAATAACAAAATAAAAGAGTAAATTTCTGCACATTTTGGCATATTCAGTTTCTATGTAAAATTAATTATTTCCAAGATTTTGTTTTCCACAATAGCTACAACCCACCTCTATTTCTGACACTGTTTAATGAACCCGTTGAAAAAAAAAAAGTATGTCTGTCTTGCTTCTTTATTTTTCAGGAACTAATGTGAAATGGACAACCTTACTTAAATGATATACTGTATGCAGACAATTACAAAGTGAAATATTACAAATATAAAGTGAAACATAAAGACAACTTGAAATACTGTAAAGTATAGTCTCGATTTACGCGGATTTGGTTTACGCGTTTGGTCATTTACACGGCACCTTGCCAGACCGACAATTTTTATTTACGCGGTTCATTCCATCATTTACGCGGGAAGCGGCGCGGGTAGGGTGCGCACAAGGTCGCCCAGTCAACAAAACATTACCAAGTTCTTCACCCGCCACCCACCACAGCCAGCCCAAGTCAGTGATAGTGAGGATATGGACTTTGAGGGGTTTGACAAAGAGGCCCTGCAAGCCTCTGTGGTGGATAGTGATACAGGTGATACAAGTGATACAGGTGAGTGCCAATAATCCACCCTCTGCCTCAGAACCAACCCCAATCCCCGTGTACCCAGCCATCTCTTCTACTAACGTAAGTGTTAAAAAACCTAATATTATTGATATTTCTCTTAAATATTAATTGTGTGTGCATACCATCATAAAATTAAGATGTTATTTTTACTACAACGTACGTAACGTATTGTATCTGGTGAAGTATAAGTTGTTTATTTACTGAAGATAATTGTTTTTAGCTCACAAAATTCCTAGAAATTACCCAGCCAGAATATAATTTACATTGCTGGAATTCTTATAAGATAGTGATTAATTTGAATATAAACAAGCTAAAATTTGCATTAGACATAAATTTTAGATCTAATTTAAGAATTTTATTAGAGAGAGCAAAAATTTTATCTTTTGTGCAAAATATATGACGTTTATATTCAAATTTTCGCTGTCTTGCAAGGATTTCAGCAATGCAAATTATATTCTCCTAACTTTAGTCTGAGATATATAAGATTAAAGCCTATTGTATAACCAGAAACCTTCCCTGGGAGGAGGGGGGGAGGGGTGACAGTGACATGTTTGACAGTTAGCGCCAATGTCTGGTGAAGTATTAATTTGTTTATG